CATTTCATTAGTCTAAGCTGGGGTAGTTTTGCAGGTCCTCTTTCTAATATCTTTAAGGACCTAAATCTTGAATTTTTGTAGGAGATTTAAAAAATCTCAGAACTCATCCATTTTCCTAAATATCAGTCACTTTGGGCAGTGCCTGTTGGTGTGTAAAGCAGTCAGCACTGCTTTTGAAGAGAAATTTAAGTTCCTTACTCATTGTACCATCTTCCCAGCAGTTGTGACTCAGTAGCAGATCATCATCATACTGCTTCCTCCTCATCCATGAGCAGAAAAGAAGAACAGTTTTCTACTGACATTTCAGACTCAGCCATGCAGAGCAGCTTAGCAAGTCAGTATTTCCTTTTGACAGCTGTCTTTTCAGCTTCAGCATTTAGATTCTGGCTAAAGATTGATTTCTTCTTCCTTTTCAAAACTCCTCAAGAGCCATAATATCCAGGTCCAGTATAACAATGTGGTATAATAGGTGGGTACTGGACAAACATTACAAAGGCTTCTCATTTGTCATGAATCCCTTCTGAAGCAAATGTGAAGGGTATACTTGGGAATAGTCTGAATTCCTACAATCTCTTAGGGCAAGAGGAACAGGGTGTAGTTCAGAGCAATCCTCTACTAGTGCCACCAGTTGTGTTCACAGAGGTTGTTCTGGGGTTGACAGAAGGCAGATCTGTCCTGAGTGTGCTCTGATGCACCCCAGGTGCTCAGTGGTACAGTGAGCTCTCTCTCCCACTCTACATCTGTCTTCCCAGGTGTCCCTCACCTTCCTGAAGATCATCTTTAACACAAGAACAGATGAAAGCTGGGCTCTGATTGTGTAGGCAGCTTGTCATCTGTGGGTTATTAAATACAGTTCTTTACTCCAGGAAGTACAAGCGCCTAACTCTAGCCAGAAAACTGTAAGCATGAATATATATGTGCTTCCTCAGGTGCTCATACCATTTATGGAGGATATAATCATCAGGAATGCCAGTAATAAGAGGCAACAAAGTTAATAAGCCACAAGTAATCTTTCTGCTTTTTTACCCCTTCCACTATATTGCCTTTGCAGATGTACCCCAGTGACATTTTATTTGTAAAAATAAGCAGCGTGGAGCACCTGAGCATGGTATTTCTGTAGTCTTAGCTGTTATATACATGTGAGAATAGCAAATTATAGGAAGCTGAGTCATTTTGCTAAGCAAAATTCATTTGGCTAAGCCACACATCACAAAATCACAGCCGTTTTTCACCAGAAACAGTTTCTCAGGAAAGGTGTTGCAGGTAAGAAATACATGTTCCCTCCTAATCTCTTGGAGGAAGAGAGAGGCTTTTTGGGAGGTAGCACTTAGGTTACAGTGCATAACCACTGCCAAGTTATCAGCTAGCCTTCCTCACCCTTTTTATGGTCTACCTACCCATGCCCACACAAGCAGAGCTTTATATCCTTGTGTGAGTAAGCACTTAGGTTGAAGAAATCACACAATGCTTATAGAAATAGAATACAAATGCAGTGTCAGTGAATAGAGCACATTGGCTGTTGTGCTGGTGAAGCAGAGTGTATGTATTATGCTGCTTCAGAGAATGAGAAACAATTTTATCTTCTATGGGAGATGAAGTGAACATCAGAGCAAGTGAAACAGTACACGCCGTGAGTCTCTACAGAGGAAAAATAGTGTCAAAAACCTTAGCCAAAGGTTAATTGATAATTGGTTTAATTATTCATTTGTTATTAATGATTACTAATGAGAAACATTAGAATAATCAATGTTCCAGCCCAGTGCTTTGCCAGATGTCATGTTAATTGCAACTGAAGATAGCAGTAGCTTAGCAAAATGCAGAAACAATTAGCATGATTGACTCGAAGCCACCTCACGCCTCTCTGGAGCATTGTTCTTGCAGCACTACAGAGCAGTATAAAATTCTCTGGGTTTGCAGAGTGGGAAAAGAAGGTTTCTAATAGCCTTTGCTATAAGCCAGATTTGTCTCATAAAAGGTAGAAATTACAGTAAGTCTGACACAAGGAAATATATTTTCTCAGAGAGATCACAATCACAGGCTAATATGAGAGGAAATACAAAATAACCTACAGTGAATAAAATGTTAACACCAGTAATGGCTAATTGAAATTAAAATCTACTCTTTCCCCCATGAAAAATTTGTTGAGCTTTAATATTCCCAATGAAATTTCACTTTTAAATTATGCTTTATGAACTGAAACAACCATAAACCACTAAAGTACCATGTTGTTATTCAAAATATGCAAAGTAGTTTCTTAAACTACAGGTATTGTAAAATGCTGAGAAATTAAATTTTCTTCTATGCAGAGATAAGGTTTCATTCCATAGTTAAAACAGGAGATTTCATTTGGCTTAGACAAACTGCAGTACAGGTTGAAACAAAAGTAGCATGTGTACATCAAATACAACCTCCCATCACATAACAGAGTTCTCTCTGTGTCTCCATGCCCAGTTTGATCCTCAGCCACAAGATGAAAACTAGAATGTCTGTATGCACATCAGGGAATCCAGGTAGTTCTGGTCTAACCCCAGACTTGCTTTTATTATTCAGTGGCTCCAGGACACAGACTTTAGCATCAAAGAGTCCAAAGCAGTAGTCCCAATAACCATCAAAGACAGAATCAGCAATGGCACATGTAACACAAGTCTGTGGTTCCTGAAAGTTAAGAAAACACTGAGTCTACGTAATGTATGTGTCTGAGCTGCTTTTAATCAGCCATGAGCAATGGGGTACCACACAATCTGGTGTAATCAGATTATAATCTTGAGTGATTGGGATATATATAACACAATTTTTTTCTTTAATTAACACTGACACTGAAAATAGGATAAAATTTTTGATTCTTATTGGAAAAGGTGCTTAAAAGCACACACATCTTGATGATTATTGTGTCCAATCCTGTGCACAAACCACAGCTCCTAGTCACAAAATTCTGTATGACAATCAAAAATCAGCAGTGCTTGTGTGTGCTTCACCTGATTAGCACATGGTGAAGGTGAGAAGTTTCCTCACTGAAAGTTGTCTTGTGCCTGGGGGGGGTCTATGCCAGACCCCTGGCCTGTTCTCACGGAGCTAAGGGAGCAAGGTAATGGGACGTGCACTGAAGCTGCAAGGAATGAAGGACATTGATCAAAGGGAAGATTCTACTACAAGTCCATTTCTGTGATGTCTTGGGTACCTGCTGATGTAAAGCTGGTACCTGCTGCTGAAGTTTAGACCTTCAGTTATAATATATTATTTATCTAGACAGAGGTAAGGTTTGGCAGTGCCTTATCCATGTATCAAACACTGCTGTGTTGCTTTCAGCAGAGGAACATAGGAAAAGGCTGCAGTGGTCTAGAACAAAAGGATTCTGACAGGTCTTTCTACATGAGCTTTCTCACTGTTGTAATTGTGACATGCAGTCAAAAGTCTTAGTCTTTAGGGCAAACTACCCTAAAATTCATGAGGCTCAGCTGGTAAAGACAGAAGAGAGTCAGGAGTTTGCAAGAGTTTCATTATGAGCACAAACCCATATTTTGGTTCCTTCTTTTTCATATATATATATATATATATATATATGTGCAGTTTTTTGTATTATAAGTTATATTGGAAATATCTGCTTTTTATAATCAGTCAAGATATCTGCAGTATAAGATACATATATTTTTTGATTTTAAAATAACAAAACCAAATTGGTGAGTGGAGTCTTAAAATAATGGAGAAGCTGTTCTTCAAGCACTAACAGAAATCCCTTCATGTGTTTCCCTCTATCTCATAGAACACAGAAGCACTCATCTAAGAAATAAATAAAATAAAACAAAACATGTTTACTTTTTTGACCCTTCCTTTGGCTTTTCTTCTATCATACATCTTCTGGAATTTTCTGTACTAGTTCACTTTATGTTCAGAGTTTCATTTTTGCCTTTCAGCGATGTTTCTTGTTGGTTTCTTTGGGTTTTTTTAATCTGGAAATTTGATTGTGAAAATCTGCTCACTCCCTCCTTTGCAACATACTGACTTTCACATGAGAATCTGTACATTCAGCAAGAACCTTATCACTTTGATGGATTTGGTTGCATAATTATCAGTGTTTCACAGGTTTATTGGAACAACTTGAAATAATTTAGCAGTATTCCAGTTCTTGCATATAGATTACAGCATTAAATTTTTACTAAACATTTAATTTCCTTTAGATAGCAGCAAAATTCACAGAAATCAGCAAGTAGCAGCTATTAGTTAAAGGGGAAAAGAAAATAAGGAACTCTCACATGAACATGTCTTTGAAAATCAGAGTTCAACCATACCATTAAGTGAATTTCCAAATAAGACTAGAAAGACTGACTAATGTGCCTTGGATAGATAGGCTGCGTGTTTGTCTAATTTATTTTTAAAAGACCTTCAAAAGAAAGCAATTCACAATGTCACTGTTTCACTTCTAGTACTTTTCCAAGAATTAGACAGGATTTTTTTCCACTTAACTGACTAAATTTTTTTTGATGATCACTGAGTAGATTTTTAGCACCTATTTTTATTATACATGGACAAAAAAACAACTTTTCTCTTCAGAAAAAAAACAATAATAGGAAAGACTTCAAAACTTTCCTTTGATTAAGACATCAATATATCCAAAATCCAAAATATCCAAAATCAATCTTCTTTTCCAGCAGTTGATCTAGCAGAAGACATTTTTACTTTCTAAAAATCTGACATTTCTGCAAGCATTAGACAGTTATTCTGCTGTGTTTTCACCATTTTACGCAAAATTATAAGTTTTCTTCACAAATATCATAATGTAATCAGTAAACCTTCCAGGATTTTTGGTTCTTTTTCTTTAATTGCAAATTCCTTCTGCATTCTCTCAACCATTATGTCTTCCTTTTCCTAACCACAATATTGCTTATCTCTTGCACATTGTTCTGAGTCCCACTTCTTTACTACCTCCTGATACTTATGGTTTAGTAGATGTCACATTAAGACTGTTTTCAGCATGTACAATATCGTGATTCTCAGGAACTTACCCAAAACCTCAGCAGCATGCTTTTATTTGGATTCAGGCTATGTCCACACTGTCCCTGGGAACACAAGGGATGGAGCAGATGAAGCTGATGCTCTTTTCTGACTCGGCTGTATGCATGCCACCACTGAGCTCAGAGGCCCGAGGCTCAGCACTGCATGGCTAAAGTACCGTGAATGCAGGCTGAGCTCAGGCTGCTCACAGACCCGCTCCTCCCTCTGGCACTCTGTGTCAGACCTTTCTGCAGGAGACCCCTGGCAGCCCACATGCATCTGTGCACAATTTAAATACACCAGGAAAGAGCTTGTTGAACTAGATTTTCTGATACCTTTTACATCAGAGAGCATTTGGCACTGCTTCCACTTTTAATACCTTTCCATGTGGATTCTTCACCAGCAAAACATGAATGAGTTGCAGGGCTGGGAGATTCCCACAGAATCCAACTACCCATTCTTGTTGCTGACTTTGGTGAGACATTTTTGTGCTCTGCTTTTTGAGGTCTATGCCTTATTGGCTATTGATATGTCAACAGTTAGCTTGCAAACACAGCTCCCACAAGAAAATTAGTTCAAGTAAAATACATTACAGAACATTTTCTTATTTTAACACAATGAAGTATGGCAATAATGTTTGGTACACTTTGTGTCATTGGAAATCATTAATATTAATGTTTCAGCCTTTTAATATGTGTTGATAAAGTAAAAACAAGGTAGCTAAGAGTAGTATTTTCTCATTTTAAGAGCATTTTGTCTGACAATGTAGCTGAAAAATATGCCATAATAAATTAACATATGGCTGTTCTAAATTTCTTGTCCTGCACAATTTCAAACACACAGACTACAATAAATTACCACAGAGAATTTTTTACTTTAGTATTTTTATGGATTTTTCAACTTTAGGGCATAAATCAGAAATTTCAGGCATTCATATGCCAATTTGGGAAGTTACCAAAACTTTCAAATGTAGATTTTTCCAATTTCTTCAATGTAGGAATACATATTGAAAATAAAAATTAATATAGTGCCAGAAATAAGGTTTGGAAAAGATTTTTTTTGACAACTTTATGGCTTATGAACATGTTGGATTTCACCATCAGTGTTCATCTCAGTGTGTTAATGAGTCATTAGTGGCTTAGCAGAAAATGTATGTCGCTTCAAAGAAAAGACAGAGGTCATGATGTGACCAACAGAGCATCTCCTTAATTTTCCATGTGATTTTGCCAGAGGCAAGAAGATACCACAAGTGAAGCAAAGTAGAGGTTATTGGCAATTGAAAAACTTGTTACAGTTTATGAGAGTTAATTAATATGCAATTTCATCCCAAACAGTTGTCCTTAATATTCCTTCTTCTGTTTAATCTGCTATGCATTTATATTACAGCAGGACTTGGAGATATGTCAGCAGAGATGTGTCTTCCTTTCCCTTAAACATGGATGAGTAGCACAGAGTTTACACAAGGCAGTAGCAGGTATTGTGGTCCAGGTTTTACTAAAATGAAGGGTATTAATGAAAATTACTTTGATAGACACCTCTACTTGTGTGCAGCCATGGGAGTCAGTCCAGTTGGGCATGTATTACCTGCAGAGGAGAAGTCAAACACATACTCAGTCTCCTCTTGCCCTGCCAGCCCTCCTCCATCTCCCTTTCCAGGCTCAGTGCAGGTTAGCCAACACACGGACACAGAGCATAGCCAGGGATTTTAGCCTACAGCTAACATGAAAACTTAGCTCCAACAACTAAAGCGTGGGATTCAGGTTTTCTGACAGTGCATTTCTTAGGTGTAGCACAAAATTATAATTTTTTTCTCATATCTCTTCATGTAGAAAACACTTTGGCATAAAATTCACTCATGAAATGCAACCTAAGATGAACTCATGTTGTTATTCTAGGATCCTTCCATATGGTTCAAACGGATTTGGTTTTGAGCAGAGCAAGAAGCACACACCACATACATTTTAAATAATAATAAATGTGGAGTAATGCTGTATGTGCAGAAAAGTCAGGGCACAGCAGGAAAAGGGTCAGTCTATGTTCAACCTAATCACTCTGCTGGTTTCTGCTACAGAACAACACTGCAACTATAAGGGATTTTTTTCCATTTTAATACAAATAAGATGACACAATGAGAGAGAGGTAAAATAGCTGCCTTTCTTTTCTCCTAGGCCTAATTATAACAGCAGGTGAAAAATATAAGGGGTTCAAGTCTAATTTGGTAAGTGAAAACTACCTACCACCAGAGCTGTTTTTTTTATGAGAGATGGCAGGGTTAGTAAGAAATCCTGATATAAAAAATGGCAAAGAAATTTGTGAGCAATAACAGAAAGAGTAATTGTGTATGCAGTGGTATTTTATATGTGAATAGGAAACTGATAATTGGTTTGATATTGATTTTTCTCTATGCAGCATGCTGCTACAACTGTGGATGTATTTTTTTGAGAGATTCAGTGCTACATGATTTATGCTGTGTCTCAATCACCACATTATGTTATGTAAGGCACCAGCTGAATCCTGAGATGAGTCAGATGCCAAATATTGTACTAAAAACTGTTGTCTCATAATGAATCAACAGACTTTGAAGTAATTAAATCCCTCATTGTTTAGCTTAATATAGCCTATTTCAAAATGTAATAAAACATATTTTGGAAGTGAGTCGGACCAGGTCCCATTACAATAGCATTTAGCTTCTTTCAGTCACCAGTATGATATAACTGTCAGTTTAATATGATTTATAACCATGAATGTTTGGTTTACTTATCAAATAAGAGCTAGCAAGGCTTATTCTGCATGTCAACCTTTTGTAACCTGTAACTCAAATTTGCTTTCGTTTGACAGACTCGATGCTTCTTATCATTATTCACCACTTCCCTGTGCTGCCACAACTCTTTTAGGCTTTCAGACAGTTAAGAATGTCTCATGAGTGTGGCCATATTGTAAACCAGTACAGAAAAAACGTCCATCCCAAAAGAGCTCTTGCTCTATGCATAGACACTCCTAAGCACTCTGTTTATGACAGCAATAACACTTCTGTGTCAAGTGATGACAGAGACAAGGCCTGCCCAGCCAGCTCGCTGGGGAATGACAGAGTGAGGCTGCATCTTTGTCCTTGTGGTGGAGAGCTTTACACCAGACTGCAAAACTTGTATGACACTTGTTAATTCTCCTGGGACAAACCCATGTGCAGAATTACAGCTTGGATGGTTAGGATGTTTTGTGCTGGGGAAAAATATTATTAATCTTTAATTTGCATTTTGCAATGTATTTAGAGTAGAAAGGACAAATTCAAATAGTACCTTATTCTGGGACCAAAGACTGCTGAATTTTGTGGTGATTCTAAGCTATGAGGAAAATAATGTTCTACAGCCCTGTACCACAATGATAGAAGATGTAAAACTCTCAGCCAGAGTGTTTGTACTGGAGTTTTGAGGATTCCTTTAGGTATCTTCAGATTTGTCCATGAGTGCTACATAAGCATGGCTAGACTTTGATCTGAATACAATATTCTCTGTCAGTTTTGATGTGCTCTTGGCCACCACTGAGAAGATCTGCTGTCACAGCCTGTGACTGCTACAATCTCCTACTCATCTAAGCACTCATGACTTGGTAGGACACATCACTGTGGTCTGCTGAATGAGTCACCAGCCAGCATTAGGATGGATGTGTGCTAGCTGCTCTCAAACCCTCGCCAGCCCACCTACAGACATCAAATATGACAGAGAAGATGAGAATGGATATTTGCATGTCACCACATTCAGCAGAAAGACAGAGTTACTGTTTGTGATCCTTCCTTGCATTACATGGTGGACACTGGCGAATATCAGTGCAGAATAGAGGATGTTTTGAACTCATTTATGCACAAACTCACCAGCTTCTGAGAGTACTGGAATGCTACAGGTTCACAGGTGTTTATACAATAGGTCCACTTTGGGTCTGATCTTCTCTAATCTCTTAGTATCAATGTATGGGATCTGTTAGAAAATCTGAAGACAGTGAGCCACAGAGTTTTGGCTCATGATATACATGGGCTGTACCAAGAGGAATAAAGCATGTTTTTGACTGAGTTTAGGAAGACAGCAGTGAGGTCCTGTTTTAATCTTTCTTCAGGAGTGAGAACTAAAATAAGCAGTTTAGAACTTAGCATCAAATTTCATATTTCCTTTGAACTGTGAAAAACTAATGCTTTAGCTTGCCATTATCCCTGGCATGGCTTGTGATGTGCAGGGAGAAGAATGAAGCCCATGACCTCCCATGGTGAGTCTGAAGTCTGTAGAATGCAGGTCTGAAAGGATGACTCTCTCCTGTTCACAGCCACAGTCTCTTCCTTCATCCAGGTCTTGGTGTTACAAGCCAGCAAATGACTCAACCAAAGGGTGTCATAATATTTTACTCTGACTGTGTCGCAGATTTTACACTGGCCATTTTCAATTTTACTGTAAGTCATTGCACTGTTTCCAGCCCACCTCTGGATAAGAGGTTAATACTGTTTGCAATCTTGTATCTTGTATTTCTTGTTTCTTGTAGTTTCTTGTATTTCCTACTTGCTTCTTTAAATAAATCCATCTTTCTCAGTTTGTGATGGATTATATGTTGGATTGCATCACAGAATACAGGGAGTGAGAGAAAAATTGTCTGAGGCACACCGAAAAAAATGTTGAATGTATTCTCTGTCATGAACTTTGACTCAGGAATCTGAGACTATGAGAATATTTGCATAGTTAATTTTCATTCTACAATACAAGAAAAGTCACAACTCATGAAGTCTAATTTTGCAGTCACCATCCAAGGCTTTTACCTTCATGACTGAAATTAATTAAGATCTCATCCTCTACTCTGCAGAGGACAAGCGTGTTTCCCTGGTACCTCTGGGTTTTTGGTTTTTTGTTTTTTGGTTTTTTTTTTAAGAATAGCAGCATGGGAGTCGCACTCATTTTCTGCCACTGCCTTGGTCTAGGTAGTGCAAAGCTACAGCATAGATAAATACTCTAACATTCTGCAAGTTAACACACCATGGATGTATGGAAATATCACTACTTATTTATTATTATTAAACTAATAAAGTCATAATTCAAAATGTAATTATGTAAACAGCCTTCCAAGATCCCTGCTTTTTTTAAAAGAATAACAAACAGCCTATAGCACATGAAGAAGGTACCTAGGGAGTTGTGTAAT